TAGGTTTTTATAGTTTTCACTAAATAGGTCCTTTACGTTCCAAAGAATGTTTTGCAATTCATCTACATGCATGTTATCAAAAGTTCATTTTTTAAAGATCACAAAGAAGTACACATATTCTCTTTGTCTACTTTAATCTGCTTATATGCCCTTTCATAATGGGTATTTAAACGTTTTCCCCATTTGTGGTTACTGTGAATAAAGGATCTTACAAGTCCAGAATCCTATCCTGTTTTATAAACCTAATCAGATCACCTTATCATATCTTTCTGTCTATAAAAATACAGAAAGTGAAGGACCAGACTAAAGTAGCATCTGCTTATACTTTAAAAGAGTGAAAGGTACCTTAGTTGTGGATTAGCTGGCAACCACCCCAAAGTGCCCGTATCAATGACCCCAGGGGGGCAACATTCATGATCTAAGACTTTTCTCTAGAGCATTTCAAATGCACAGTGAGACTGTTTAGTAAAATCCTTGAAGCGGGGAATTTTATAAAGGAGAGGTTTACTCAGCTCATACTCTTAGAGGCAAAAAGCCCAGGATCTGTTGACTTCATGTGTTTGGCCTTCAGTAAGGGCTCATTTTTCTGAATCACAATAGGTCAGAAGAGTGGAAAGGGAACAGTAAGTCATGTGCAGACGGGTTGAGTACACTTGTTACAGTCCAGTCTTGTGAGAACTCACTCTCTAAATCAATGTTAATCCCTTCTGAGAGCAGCACCTCCTTAATAAACTAATCACTTTCATTAAGCTCAGTCTCTGAAAGTTCCACCATCTCTCAAAATCACCACCTTGAGGAACAAACTTCTAACACGGGAACTTCTGGGGAAGAGACCACAGCCACATCATAGCAGAGGCAATAAAGCTCATTTTTCTTTGGACCCAAATCTGGTATCCTATTACATTACCTCTGTGTAAAATTACTGTATTAAAAAATCCACATAAGCAAGCATGGTTTTCATTTACTTGTCCTATGAGGTCTCCTCATACATCTCACCTAATCCAACATACTAATTATGCCACGTTGGGCACATCATTTACTCCCCTAAGCCTTAATTTCCCAGTATGCACAAGGAGATAATTACAGCATCTATCATAAGGTTATTTTGCAGATTAGATCTTGTGTGTCATGTAGGCCTAGTGCATAGCTCACCTAAGTGCATGGGAATTAGCTATTATTAATATGGGTGCATTTCCAAAAGTATTCAGACAGTGTAGCCGCAAACTTTCATTTGCTATCTCCATCTCAAGGTGCAGGGCAACTTACCATAATAAGGGCATTCTAGGAAATTAGTGCAACCGGCATTCTCCAAACCAGCGTTCCATTGTTAAGTGAGTTTTGGCTAAACATTTTAACATCTTATTGCTTTATGCTAATGTATACTCTTTTCTTCCCCCAAAGTCAGGCCTACTATACAGTACCTCCAAAAGAACTTGTCTATAAAATTGACTACTAAACTAATCAAGGAAGATCATGTGAACCTGAGACTCTAATAAAATTATACGCTGACTGCACATGTAAAACAAATTTTAGTCCCTTCAGGATTATATATCTCTTTCCATTTCACTTAATGTTACCCATCCAACAGATCTCTTCAGTGCCTTCCTTAACCCACCAAACTTAATCCAGACTTCTCCTTAGAAATTATCAGGCCTCCCAGACTTTTCTTTCATATCTTTTACTGCACTGGCATTAACATACATATAAGATTATCTGTTAGTCATTTTTCCCAGTAAAGTATATGCTTCAGTGAAGGCCAACAGGAACTATAGGTTTACCAGTATCTAGTACAGTTTTTGGTACCAGACCTAGTTGTGGAAAAAATGCATTAACACAAGAATTTCATTGTAGCTTTTTTTTTTTTTTGAGATAGGTTCTCACAATGTAGTGCAGGCTGGCTTCAAACTCCAGAGACCTTCCTGCCTCAGTTTCCTAAGTGCTGGAATTACAGGCATGTGCAGCCACAATTGCTTCAGCTTCTTTGACATAACCAAAAACTCCAAAGGACTTAGATGTTTATGAGTAATATGGTGGTTAGATGAGTTTGCTACATTTATATCACATAATGACAGCATTAAGAATGCTAAAATTAATCTGTATTTGGCACACCCACTTTACTAAGTGAGAAGAAATTCTGTACTTTATTATATACACACTGTACTGTACATAGATGTCTAGAACCACACATACACATCAAACTGTTAACAGTGATCACACTTGAACAGAAATAGGACTAAGAACAGAGGCCTTTAGACTCTATGCATTTCCCTACTGTTTCAGTATTTACCAAATGTTTCTTTATTAGTGTTTTTGTTTAATGTGAACAACTACAGGTCCACATAAATTACCTTATGCTTTATGATTGCTTTTTATTTGCATCCTTTTATTTTTGTAGTGCTGAGTTTCAAGGCCTTGCATGTGCTAGGTAGGCACTTAGCTGGATTTGCAGGACAACTTGCCTGCTCCCATGTCTTTATTTCTTAAAAATACTTTTGTAATGAACACTACAACAACCCTCAGAGGACATTAGGACTTGGTATTAACCCAGAATTGTAAAATGAAAGGTTCAGGAAAGTTGCTTTATATCATGAAGCAAAATAAATGACAGAATTGGGACTTCAATGTCTCTTCATTGTTTTTCAAGGGATATGTAATGGGAAACAAGGCAACTTGATCAGAATCAGTATTTTAATATCAAAAAAAAAAAAAACTAGAAAAGACTTAAACCTATTCCATCCCCCTTTCCCAACTCTGTAGGTGGTTTGAGGGTACTGCTGATCAGTGTCCATAGGGGTGAGGCCAGGGAAGGAGGCTACAAACACCCTAGCATGCTGCTTAACTTCTAAGAGACTTCATTTATATTAAGCTAAAGCCTACCTTTCTTACTTTGACCCTTTGATCTAAGTTTAGTCATGTGGAATGCCACAAAAGAAGCTTCTCTCCGTTTCCTAGAATATAATTCCGATGCTTTATCTAGATAAACGTCCCAATAAAACATCTTCATTGCTCAACTTTTAATTTCAATGAAGTCATAACAAATTACTTGGCGGAGGAGGAAAAAGAATGATCATGCGGAACCTTTAGCAAATAATGAGGTACAATTAGTCAACTGTTACTAGAGTCCTTTAGGGGGAGTTACAGAGAATACATTTCTTACTGCTTGGGCCAGGTGCTTCTGACAAAGACTTAGGTTTAGACAGTTCAGTACTGCTGGATCCAAAATCTGCTGTTTATTATTCTCCATTCAACAGTTGTTCCTCAGCAAAATGTTTTTGTTGAAACTTCCAGAAACAATGGGCTTAATGGTCTCACCAATTAAAAAAATGAGACATCTTCACAAAATACAAGAGGGAAAAGAAATACAGATGAATAACATGAAGCTTGCTGTCTGAAATCTGGGACTCATGAACACACTTAAGACCACACTAACATGGTTAAAAAAACCAATAATATGAAAAATGAAAAAATACACATACACAAAGATTAGGTATAAAATATATTTAGTTCAATGCTTACTAAAGCTGCTTTCCAATCATTTGATAAGTAATTAGCATCAAACTTATGGAATATCTTCATGAAAGATGTAGACATGTATTTAGAACAGGGTGACTTTTTATTATGGTATTACCCATGGATAATAGTCACAAGCTTGGTAAAGCCTTCCAGAATATTGCTCAAAGTTTAGTTTCTGAAAATTCTCTCCATTTAAGTAGGAGAAAGGAAAAGTCTTCTCAGGATCTCACTTGAAAAAAAAAAACACATACACAAAGAAGAAACATTCCTCTTTCCTCCTCTTTACTGAACTGTTTATCTTCCCTCTAACATTTATTACACTTGTAATTAAATAACTATCTGGTTAATAACTGTCCATATCACTACTTCATAACAGAATCCATGTTTATGAACACTGGATAGCCACAAATGTAGGGTCTTGAATATGGAAAATGCTCATTAAATACTTATGAAGTAAGAGAAGTACTAACAAGATAACAACTGACAATACAAAGATTTCTTTGCTATCCTACTTAATGTTAATGTTGAGAAACTACTTGCTGAGAAAATCTATTGTCCCAAGCTATATTTATATATCATTTACTTAGCATCACAATAATCCTATCATATTTCTCATTTGACTAAACCTCACGGAAACTAAATAAGCCAGGCTAATAATCCTAGCTACTCTGTTTGAGGGATAAAGATCAAGAAAATCATGGTTTGAGGTCAGCCAGAGTCAAGTTATAATTAGACCCTATTTCAGCCAACAAGTCAGATGTGATGGTTAATACCTATAATCCCAGCTACAGGGGGAAGGGGTTTGCAGGTAAGAGGAGGATCCAAGTAATGCAGAAAAAAAAAAAAAATCACATCCCAAACATAACTAAAACCAAAGAGGGCTGGGGGGCGTGGCTCAAGTGGTACCAGTACTGCCTGAGTTCAAAGCCCAATACCACCAAACCACACACACATACACACACAATTCGAGCCACAAATCTATTTTAACTTCACTTCATGTGAATACCAGATTCACCTAATGCAGTGCTGGCCTAGTATGTCTTTTGTCCTGAATTATCACAGCAAATCAATGGTTATATACAAGCTCCCCCTCCTAAAATAAGTGACTTCAGGAACAGCAAACCAACCACTTCCACACAAGTCTTACAAAAACCCCCAGACGGAAGGGACTCATTTTTGCAGCTGAGGCTAAAATCAGCTGCCTTCCCCCGACAGACCCAAGGCGGCCCCGGCGCCCTCCGCACCCGGGGGTCTGGAGGCCGGACGCCCCGCTGGAGAGGGACCGCGAGCGGGATCGCGCCTCCGTGACCCGGCGGCGGAGCGCCAGGACTCACTCCCGGCAGGTGCACGCGAGACGGCGCCAGGCCCCGCGCACCGTCAGCGCGGGCGGGGACGGGGGACCCAGGCCCGGGGCGGGCGCGGGAAAGGCCCGTGGTGCGGGGGGCGGCCGCGAACCCAGGCCGCGCACGCCTCGGGCCGGTCCCTACCTTGGTCAGAACGCTCTTATCAAACCTGTCGTTCTTGAAGCCGAAGGTATTCTGGTGCCTCTGGGGCCGGGAACGAGCCACGTTGCCTTTCTGGGAGCTCATCACCGCACCCCGCGGTCGCCGGGAGCCGCGGCGGCGGTTTCCCAGCCCAGCGCGCACCTTTCCCCAGACCTGTTCCTGACGCGGCGGGTGACCCGGAAGGAAACTCAACCAGCCTGTCGGCTCCCGCCCCCCCCCCGCCCCCGACCCCCTCCCCCAGCCAGCCCCAGAGACTTCTCCCCGAGGCCAGGGGACCCCGGCTCCCCGGCAGCGTGACTCCACGCGCACCGCCGCTCACCTCCCACCCTCCGCTCAAGCCTCTTTTGTCAAACCAGGTGAACAAATTGCCCTCTTCCTTCGAAATGAGAATCCCGCCTCCCATTGGTCGGAACCGGGCAGTCAATCACGGCGAAGGGGGCGGGGGAGGAGACCTCTATTCCCATTGGCTCTCCTTTTCCGCAATCCCCGCCTTCTGCCGTTTCCGTTCACCCTCTCCCGGAGCCCCTAGCGTGACTGACACTGCTGAGCGGCTTGGGATTGGCGGAAGTTGGGCGAAGCTGGGCTGGTCCCGCCCCCTCCCGCTGGCAGGCTGGAGCCCGGGTCAGTTTTGGCACCTTCCTCCAGTCAGTGAGCAGCTCCGGGCTCGTAGAGCGCCGTGGTCGCCCCCTCGGTTCTCCTCGGGTCTCCCACCCCCCACCCCTCTCCCGCTCCGGGAGCATGCTCAGCCCTCGGCGGGTTTAGGAGGAGCGAAGAAAGGCGGACTCAAAGAGAAGAAAAGACCCGGCCGGGGACTGGGTGTTGTCTGCGGGGCCGGGAAAGGAGGCGGCGGCGGCGGCGGCGACAGCGACCACGACCACGGCCGCGCGGGACGTGAGGCCCCAGAGCAGCCGGCGGCGGCGGCCGCCGCTCCAGCGACTCGCCCCGGGGCCGTTAGTCAGCAGAACGCCCGCTCGTGTGGAAGAGCCGGGCCGGGCGGACCCCAGCCTCGGGAACGCGAGCCGGGCCGCCTCGGGCCGCGCCGCTCTAGGTCCCGGCGCCGGTGATTGCCGCAGCCCCCGTCCCCTCCCTCGGGCCGGGCCGGTCGGCAGGCTCTGGGGAGAGCCCGGCGGCCGCAGCGCGAGCCGCGGCGCCTCGTGGAGGACCCCGAGTCGGTGGCCCCCGTCTCCCGATCTCCCCCGCCCGGCGTCTCGGCCGTGGCCGCTCCGGAGCAGGTGCGTGGGGGGGGGGGGGTGCGCGGGGCCGGGCGCGCCGCGCCGGTGGGGAGCGGAGGGGAGGGCGGGCCGGGGTCGCCGGAGCCGCAGCGCGGGAGGGCCGGGGGGGAGGGGAGGGGAACGGGAGGCGTCTTTGTTGTTGGCGACCCCGGGGGATCCCTCTCCGCGCTGGGAATCCACTCGCGATCGGGTCGGTATTCGGGGGTTCTCCACTTAGGTCCGTGCTGGGGAGGATCCGGTCGGAAGTAGAGGGGCGTGGGGGGGGGCGGGCGTCCACCTGTGCCCGGTGAGGGGCGCCGAGGAGACCCAGACTCGCTCCGGAAGGTCTCGGGGTCCCGCGGGGGAGAGAAGGGGAGTCCCCTGGCCCCTCCGCGATGTCTCCCGGCGCCCGCGGCCCGGCCCCCGGGGCGATGGCGCGGGTGTCCGCCGAGCCCCCCGCGGAACGTCCCCGTCCCCCGCCGGCCTCGGTCGCCGCCCGCCTGAGCGTGTTCCGAGTTTGGCTGGTGGCTGTATTCTGCTCACGCCCGTCCCCGGCTTCCTCCCTCGCTTACATGGTTGAGCGTGGGTCGCCTCGGGGGTGAAGAAGTCGGGGGTCCGCTCATCCAGAGCCTGTCGTTTTTTTAAAATTGGAAATTGGGAGCTTTTTGTTATTGAACCCCGAGCCCAAGAAAGTTGGATCCGATTAGATGATATTGTGGGGGTTCGTTCGTACAATTAAACCCCAGCTGCTGCTGCTTTTTTTTTTTTTTCTTCCCTAAACCAATGTTCAGAGCTTTAATCCATGATGGGATTTTTTTTTTTTTTTGGCCAAAGGAAAAACAAACAATGGTTTTTTAAATTTTTTTTTTTAAAAACCCCATTCATTGATTTTTAAGTCGGTGTGGGATACATTTATTTGGAAAGCAAAGGATGAATAACGGAATGCAGAGAGGATGACCTTTAAATTTTGGCTGCGTTTTTATGGAAGATGTTCCTGCTTAATGATTTGTTCGTACTATTTATTGCTTGATCCATAAAATAATTCATTGAGTTTTATTAAGCCTCCAGCAAATAAAAGGAATTTTGGACATCTTGGGTCAGCATTTGGAATTACTTAATGAGTCTGACTATAAAATCAGGTACAAGCTGTGATCACATTCGTTTGTTTACGTTTAACAGGGAAATTTACAATAATAAATGAACTTTTCTCGGTAAAGAATTTGTGTCTTATCACATTGAATCTCATTAGGTAGTATAATCATGACCGGGTACATCTTAAAAATTAGCTTGATTGCCAGTGTTCTAATCTGGGACTCCCACATTGCATGGTTGTTAAATCTGTTTTGGGGAGAAGGGGTAGTGACATTACTCAAAGAACAGTGACGGTAATTGTGTTATAACTTACAAAAGATAGAAAGTCCGTTGTACCTTTATTGCAATATTACTTCAGATCCAGGAGGAAATGAACAGCACTCAGCCATATTTTGACCTCTCTTTTCTCCTACTCTAGTATTAATAAGGTTAATTGGCAAGGACAGGATTAGATTTTCAGCAGCCTAGGCAGTTTTAATTTTGTCCCTTGGTGTGCAATACTTTAGTTGATGTGTGGCTTATTTCCTTGAGTATCTTCGCCCATTTTGACATGTGTATGAAATTACTGACAAAAGAATTTATTTTCTGGGACAGACATGATCACCATAAGACAACATAGCAAATGAATGTTTTCAGATTCCCAATGAATGCAGCTGAACTAGGCAAGTGGTATATCGATTCCAAATTCTATCATTAATCAGTTTTCAAATCCGGACATGCTATCCCTACATCTAAATCAGTTTCTTCATTTGTAATATAAGACTAATAAAATGGCTTACTATATAGAAAAGATAGTAGAAAGTGTACCAGCAAGTTACTCTGGTTAAGTGACATTTATTTTAGAGTGGTAATTGGTCACTAACACTTTCTGCCATACTTGCACTGGTGCTAATATCCTCAGAACTACTGATGCCAAGAAGAGAGTTTGCTGATTTTTGTTAGTTTATGGGCAGATTTTATTTGTAATCTAACCAAATTGTTCTCTTTTCAAACTTATTCCTGATTTTTCTACAAATAGTGGGACTTTTTCTCATACATTACAGTATTTGTCTCTCAAATCCAGCCCTTTGAATAGTGAGGAGAAATGATTTTATGATTATTACAGCTGAAATAAATAAAGCCTGAAAAAATTAATTACTTGAATTACCAAAGGATTATCAGTTGATTGGGCTCTGGTGGCTCCCGACTGTAATCCTAGCTCCTCAGGAGGCTGGGATCTGAGGATCACGGTTCAAAGCCAGCCAGGACAGAAAAGTCAGTGAAAACCGTATCTCCAGTAAACCACCAGAAAACCAGAAGTGGCACTGTGGCTCAAATGATAGAACTCTAGCCATGAGCACAAAGAGGCTCGGGGGACAGCGCCTAAGCCCCAAGTTCAAGCTCCACAACCAACAACAACAAAAAAAAGTAGTGAGACTAAAGCAAGATTCTTCTGATTTATAATCTTGAATTGTTTGCTTTTGGGCAGTATCTTCCAAACTCTTATATCTGTACCCCATATATCTGTGCTCAAGAGATTGTGTCAGTGTAGGTGTGTAGCACTGTAAAAGTACCTGCAGCTTTCAATATAATGACTATTCGTGTACCTTCCACTCAGCTGAAGAATTAAAACTGCAAATCAAGCCTTTATACCATATAGAGTCTCTTAAATCCTATTTTCTCCCTATACATTATATAGTTACATTGTGGTTGTCTTAAAATACTTTAAATGTTTGTATCTTTCAATAGTTTGCTTTTGTTACTCAACGGTGACAAGACTTAACTATTCAGGTAGCTCTAGTTTATGTTCATTGTGATATATTTATGTGCCCCATTATGTGACATACCAGGTTTTTGTAGAAAATCTTAATAGCTTTTTATCAATTCTTTGGTATTAAACAGTGCTATCAGTAATCTCCATTATAGTCATTTGCCATATGACTTTATGCTAACCTTGAACCACATATGCAATAGTAGCATCCTAAGATTGTATCATCTAGTGATGCACTGCACTCACTAGGTATCTGAGTTTGTGGATGTGAATTCTAATAATCGCCAAACAGCACATTTTTTAAAATGCCTCCCTATTTGGGGTGGGGGGGAGAATAAGGGAAGTGATGACATTAAGATGATAATCATGAATGTTCACAGTTTTTAAAAAAGCATGTTCCTAATTAAAATATCAGAGGTAAGTGTTGTACTAGGTGAAGGCTTGAGCTCAACTATAGTCTCTTCACCAAATATAACGGTAGACCAATAGCAGCAGAATCAGTTGGGAGCTTGTTAGGTTAGGTAGAAGCTCAGGACCTACTCCACTGACTCAAATGCTGTAAGTTAAAAAGATTCCCAGGTGAAAACTACAGCAGTACTCTAATGCTGATTGCAATGTTTGCTGTACATTGAATTCACCATTTAGGTATAAAAAATGGCATTAGTGGTGAAAAATTACTTTCTAAACTAAACATTTAGTAAAGTTTTAGTAGGTGAAAATCTTCCATTTCTCTTTGGGTTTTGTTTTTTGGTTGTTTTTAGTTTTTGAGGGGTTTTTTGTTTGTTTTGAGACAGAGTCTTGCTGTGTGGCCCATGATTTTCTGTTTGGGTTGTTTTTGCTGTGTGTGTGTATGTTTCTCCCTGTTCCCCTCTATAATTGTCCAGCAAAGTAGCTAAAAATGTTAGAGAATGTAGGTCAACATTAACTTTATTCAGGAAGAGTGCCGGGTACCCCTAGCTTCTGATTTAGTAGTGCACCATTCATTATAACAATCCAGAAGCTGTCATTGAGAAACCTTGTACCCTGGAATCTGGTAGTTGATTGCTTGACCATAGGATTTGAGCTTCTTGCACTTAGATATCTCTAAAGTAGTTGTGCCTTACATAATTTAGGCTGGTTTTGT